AACAGCAGCATCCAGTTCTCTTCTATCCAATGTTCTGCTTTCAGGATCATCGTCATAAATACCAAAATCATAACAACCATAATCCCAGCTTTCATACGGGCCATTTTCTGGATTATCTGCAAGTCCCTTTTCTCCATATTTGTCATACTTTTCCCACAGATCTTCATCTTTGAGTACCTCATATGCTCTATTTATTTTTGAAAAACCACTCCGTACTTTAGGGTTATTCATTTGTTTGTTTGGTGGATTGATTGATTGATTGATTGATTTTAATGTTTATTTACTTTTTTTTTTAAATTTTTTTTTCAACATTTATTTATTTTTGGGACAGAGAGAGACAGAGCATGAACGGGGGAGGGGCAGAGAGAGAGGGAGACACAGAATCGGAAACAGGCTCCAGGCTCTGAGCCATCAGCCCAGAGCCTGACGCGGGGCTCGATCTCATAGACCGCGCGATCGTGACCTGGCTGAAGTCGGTCGCTCAACCGACTGCGCCACCCAGGCGCCCCAATGTTTATTTACTTTTGAGACAGACAGAGACAGAATGCAAGTGGGCTGGGACAGAGAGAGAGAGGGAGACACAGAATCCAAAGCAGGCCCCTGGCTCCAAGGCATCAGCACAGAGCCCGATGCGGGGCTCCAACCCACGACCTGTGAGATCATGACCCGAGCGAGCGGAAGGTGAACGCTCAACTGATTGAGCCACCCAGGCACCCCGGGTTATTCTTGTTTTTTGTTTTTTTGTTTTTTTTTTTTAATCAGGATGTAGCTTCAATGCCAATTTCATGAAAGCTTGTCTTATTTCTCTACTGCTTGCAGTGCTGGATACTCCAAGTAAACTGTAAAAATCCTGATCTGTGCCCACTAAAATGGCCATATACACTATTAGGAACCAGAATGACCCTTTTCAGGTCCCGGACGTAGTCATTTTTGTTGAACCAGACTCCCATTCTTTCTCTTATACAAGTTCTGATGGAAGTGAACATTCAGATATACAGCTGATTCCAGCTGAGAGAATATGCAGGTTTGAGAACTTGTGTTTACGTTACTCCAAGAGCGAATCAAGCATCATGAAATTTTCTCCCAAAGGGTCAATCTGTGTAGGGTCAGTAATCTGTACTTCCTCAGATCACAAAAGATATCAAAATACTTTGAGCAATATAACCTTCTTAACATTCTGTTTCTCCTTTCTTCCTTTAATCCTAAATGTCGAAGTCATCTCCTTACCTGCAAAGGGTCTCTGGCTCATTTCTAACTCCTTGTCATGCGACCAGAACATACCTT